AGATTCTTTCTCTTACCGATTTACCTGTGCGTTTATTTGGGCCTCACATCTGAGTTTACAGCGCCTTTGCGCTCAACAGTCGATTCAGTCAATCCTCTGCCGTCCAATAACATTTCTTGAACCAGCCTAATGCTATCAGCTGAGCATCTGGATCGCATGTATTTCGCATTTTAAAGTTGTTAACTCGATCGATATTATTAAGACGTTGGCTTGGTAATTGCCCCATGACTTAATGAACACCATATTCTCTGCTATATCCTGATGTCCAGGTCGACTTCTTGTTATACATGTAGAACTGGAAGTTGACACATTTTTGAGGCACGAGGGGGTGATCCAAAAGATTCCAGTCACAAACTAGTATAGTGATTCTCGGCTAGTTAATTGAAGCATTGCCATGTTAATAACCCCATATTCAATTAAGTCAATTCATGTCAATACATTGTTGGATCCTGGTGCGAATGCCGCGCGCGTGACATCATTTGTAAAACCTCATGTTTCTCCTGGCCACTGCAACTCTCATCTGTTGAACTGCGCAAATACTTTGATGGAAAGGATGACTCTATGAAACCCTATCATACGCCTTAACAACTACCAGTGTAAAAAAAGATCCAACTCGGGTAACTGGCCCAGGAATTACGCATGGGTTCATTACAATACTCCCAGTATGCACCCCCATATTTTCAATGTTCGTTCTCGTGAAATGCACCAGAATCACAAAAGTCTCATCCTTTCTCTGTTTGTAAAAAAAATACCGGTAAATCTTTTTGGACCAGTTTTTAGTAGCTGTGGTGTTGTGACGGATAGCGCACTTGCGCAATAAGCGTAAGGTGCAGGCTCAAAACCGGCGTTTGGTCTAGACTTTTGCCCCTAAACCCTAAATTGTGGTGAATATTCGAGAGGGAATTCTTCCTAGATCGAAACTGAATGTTACGCGTCAATAACCCTGAGGAGGACAAGCCTTTAAAAATAGAACCCCCACTTGATCCACTTCTAAATTCCCTGCTTGTGTTTAGCATAAAGTTCCCTTTTAATCTTGCAATCTTTTTGTCATCTACTTCCCTATTGTTTTCCTTATTTCGCCCACCCCGCCACACTGACGATTCCCAGGGTTGGCGAAATTACAATGGTTTGTATGTGGTTAAGGGATGAAACAAACCATTGCTGTTTTTGTAGTAGATTTTCTACATATGGTCTTTTCTTCTTCTAATTGCTGCGGATGTGACATTTTTTTATGCAGCGGAGATCCGTGCAACGAAGGAGTCCTGCTTATTAGTTGCCCTTACCACAACGGACATGAAGAATTTTGTCCTTTAATTAGACCAAAAAGAAAGGATCTCTTGGGTAGGGGAACCTGTTTCAAGCACAGCAATTGAGTGAATAATCCCAGTTTTGCAAGAAGAGCTCTTTGGATATCCCTCTAAAGTTATTAGCCCCAAAGCTCCTATTCGAAGCTGAACCATCCGATTTCAGTCCTCCAATCCTGGATCTGGACGAAGCGAACGGCAATCTCTTAGTGGAAGACGGGACCAGCAACGTTAGTCCACAACGAGGATCACCACAAAGTGAAGACAGGTACATCTTTTTACTATCTTACATATTTCACATATTCACCTTTTACATCTTTAATAAAGCGTACCATGCCATTCAACATGGTACCCCTTTAGAAAGAAAGCCGTCATGTAAAAAAGTGAAAAGATACCGTAACGCAAAGGCGCCGCAACTGTCACTCTTCTTTAGCGACTCACATGCCTATCAAACTGAGGAAATGCTCACCTTCTGCTGTTGACGTTGTTCTTTACAGCGAATAACTTAGATTGACATTGTTTGTTTTTTTTTCTATTGTGCCAACCAGGTTGGTGGGTGGAGCTATTTATCGGTGACCTGACGTTTCAAGAAGATTGTCATACTGGGAGGTCTGAACATGGCTCAAGTTTTACAAGATGTTCTGTCTTTGTCGTCAAACGCTTCCCACTGCCTAGCGTTCCCGGCAAGAAACTACGAGAGCAACCGAAAATTCCAAGTGGAAGAAACAAACTCACCCAGTCCACCTATGCATGAGTTGAACGACGTCGCTCAGAGCTAGTTGTCAGTAATTGAGCATACTGCGATGCCCCTAAATAGCGGGTATGTGGCAAGAGAATCGTAGCTCGCCGCGCCAGTGGGCGTCGCGTGCGACGTCGCGCCCGCTAATGACGACGATTTCAGGTGGTATTGGTCGAGAATAGACAATGTATGACCAAAAATAGACATAAGTGTCTACCATGTCCTTGTCTACATGAAATCCGATGCTCCAATCGAAAGGGTAGTGCAAATAAAGGAAACGCCGCGCCCATTGCCGCACGCGACGAGGCGGCGATTTAAGATTCTCTTGCACGTCTCCCCTACATAGAGAGTATAGTTAGGATTTGCCCAACTCGTTCAGTGGCGTCACTCAACTCATGCGCTGGTGAACTGGGTGAATTCGTTTCTTCCACTTGGAATTTTCGGTTGCTCTCTTGGTATTTCCTCGGAAATGCTAGCGACTGGGAGGCGTTTGACGGCAAAGAGAGAACAACTTGTGAACCTTGAGCCATGTTCAGCCCTCTGAATACGACGATCAGTCAGGCCATCAATAAATAATTCCACCCACCAACCTCGTTGGCGCAATAGAAAAAGAACAATATCAAAGTTCAAAACAATGCCGAGGTTATATGAAGAGAGAACTCGCACACTGGAATAACAGAGATTACTACAACTCGTTTCGTTCACGGCTAAGTAGCGAAGTCATGAACAACCTGTTGTGAACCTGTTGTGATCCTATCCCGCAGGGTGGCCTACGGCTAGACAAAAGGGTGGCTTTGTAGGAGTGTAATCAAGCCTGTCCCTCCTTTCGAGAGCGAGTAAATATGCTACGTAGCTGTGTTTTAATCACGCGCTTAGGGTGAGAAAGAACAACTCACTGCCTCCCGCTTCACTGTTGCACCATGTAACAATTCCGCCATCATCTTAGACCGAATATATACTCGATATCCCCGATATGGGGAGGGGCGTGGCTGCGTGCTTCATTTGACCATGGCGTAATTGAGAGATACTTCAGTTCGAGATATCTGTCGCTTGTCTTGTGGTGGACAAAAACGAGATTAAAGCTGTCACAGTATGAATATATCCCACCAAAAGCGTAACCGCCTTCACGTCCAACCAAACCACTGCATCTCAGGGACCCAGTCGGGCCACTATCCGCTGCTTCCGAAGTAGTAGGAAGTCTTTGATCCCCTGACTTCTATAAAAAAAACAGTGCTGGCTCAAAGCAAAGTCATTTTTTCCAGAAATTCAGAAATTCTAAGAAAACAGCAGGCTGTACTCGGATGTCAAAGACTCAAGAGCACTTGGTATTTATAGCGGTTTCTCGCAAATGCCTGCACTATTATCCCGAAAACTTGTAAAAAGGATGTCACAAATCTCTTACAGTTCCTCTACTTGTACTGCTATAATATCACATGTGTGTATTCAGATTAAGCAGCAGTGATTTGGTAACGATCAATGTCTCAGGGCTGCGATTTCAAACATTCGAGAAGACGTTGGCGAGGTTTGTTGTGTGATGTCTTCTCATATATTCGTTTTTCTGCATGATTAAAATCGCTCTACGTGCCGCTGGCAAGCGTCGAACAGATTGATGCCTGTTCAAGAAATCAAGCACATGACCCTCGCTGAAGACGATCGGGTCGAAACAATCGCAAAACAATCTTGGTCAATTTCCGTCCATAGATATACCGACTACCCAAGAATTATCTCATCTCAAACCGACACAAATTCGAGTGCCTCTCTGGGCTACCACAATAGGTATAGACCGGGTAGGACCCACTTGTTCTATTCACAGTGCCACGGTTTCTCCTCCTAGCAGATGAATTTCAAGTTGGCATATACGCTCACGCGCGTATTGATAAGAATGTTACTACTGAACTTTAGGATAGATAGCGTGTCTTGGATGTTTTGTGGGGTTTTACGGAATGGCCTGAAATTGTCTTTGACGGTTTCGAGCAAGCACTTTCATTGAGCAATTTACCCCTGCTGTCCAGTACTCTCATATGAATCGAGCGAAAGAGGGGGAAGGGGTAGGTACAATAAGGGCACAGCTGAAAGCAGGAAAGCCCGAGAACATACGACCCCTCGACGTGTTCCTAACCAATCTCTCAAAGATTTTTCCGAATTTACCAACCTCTTGCCGGACTATTCCAAGAAGTTTCCCCGAAAAAGACATGCAGTACTGTTTTCCCAAATGGAGCAGAGGGGGGGAGGTGAGGGGAGTACATTGTAGGCACTGAATTACACGCGATAATTACCAGTTAACCACCGTCACTTCACTCTCTCCTAGAAGGCTAAAAAGTACAATACTACCCCCACCCTCCCAACAATGAGCAAGTACGATCCTCTCCTTTACAACGTCCGTGAAGCGAGAAAAATCAACTATCAAAATAAATTTTCCTCAGTCAAAAGACGACCCCCTTCTCCTGGCGGCCAAATACGATCCCCCCTCCCCTGTTGGGGAATCCCCAACAAAGATGTGCCCTGGCGTCTTGGCCGCCTGCAATGTGGGCGACTTCAAAACGTTCGGTCTCTCTATCAACGAAGTCATTCGGGGCGTGTCAACAGGGCATTAGCACTTATTGAAGGCCCGAAGCTACAGCGACCGTTGGGAAATGTGTTAGCGATGCTGGCTCACAATTACGCTGCCCTCAAGATCAAATAGGGTCCCCGCTATAAGCCTTTGGGCTGGTTCAGTGGGAAAGGCAATACAAAGAAGTCATGAATGTTCACTGTCAGAAAAGCGACTGCTTTCTGAGAACGAACGTTGTAGGAAGCACTAACATAGACAAAAATCCTCCGTTAAGAGGGATTTTTTGAGGGAAAAATTCTTGCAGGCATCTTTGTAAAATTATTCTATTGCTATTTAAGATTTTCAGGTTCCCGAACACGCTTTTGGGATGCAAGTCGAAACGCGAACGATATTACATGGAGGATGTGAACGAATACTTCTTCGATCGGCACAGATCTGCGTGAGTTAAGTGGAATTGTGAGGGCGACAACAGCTGACTTGCTGCCATTATTTCTAGATGACCCGATTCATCACTTGCAAAGCAACGTTGGCATCACTCTTGCCAACACCATAAATCTTTTACTCACCAGCAGAATAGCTTTAACCATATTTGCCGTAATTAGTGCAATTAACTTATAGAAACTTCGTCTACATAAGCTTTTCGCTTATAAGACGAGGCGAATCTTGTGAGTTCTAGGAGGTTTTCGAGGATTTGTGCAATGTTACTTATGCTTAGCTGTAACAACTGAAGAACAAGAAAGTCAGTGGGATTTTTTTCGTTTTAGAGATGACACCTTGGACAAGGAGATTCGCACGAGTCTGTAAGCGCTTTCTTGTGCAAAATCCTGGCCTTTGTTGTGTTTTCTCCCTTGTAACCTCTCACCTTCTCGAGAGTCGCACGAGCTGTTGCTTTCAAGAAAGTGGCCAGTAGTTCAGTAGTTTCAGGCCGTTGTATATACAGCCATTATTCCTGCAGAAAGGGTCTAGTAGGGGGCGCGGATTGGAGAACAGCTAGGGCCACATCTATAACCATTTGATGTCGTGCGAGGCTGACCTGGCTAGGCTCCAATCCACGTCCCTTCTCACACCCTCTCTTTTGGGGATGATGACTATATTCCCGCAACAAATTACGTGTGACGACACGCCACATCTAATGTCGTGTCAGCGACAAGAGATAAGGAAGCTGCGTAGTAGTACGTACGTAGCAGATTGGGGAAGGGTCGTACTTGCTTCAGAGAAAAAGGTTTTTGTTGTTGGCCTGACTCACCTGGTTTTCACCGTTTCGCAATGTACCTTCCCCCCACGGTAGTTTCTAGGGGAAAAGGAATTTCCGAAGAGAAAAACTCCAGAAAAATTGTAAGGAACAAATGTTGTTTTTTTTTCTTCAGGGGAAATGACTGGTGTAGCTCACCCGGCTCAGCGAGTGCTGGATAGGGCTGTGTCGCCCCAAAACCAGCCTTATTGACACGCCCCTCAATCCGCAACGAACAAGACTGTAGTTACTCCGTTCCCCCATCCTCCTTTCTGGAATACAGGTAGAGGGAACACGATCAGCACATGAAGTTCTCCTTCTATTCTGCTCAACTGCTTTGGTGAGGGTGCGCAATTCGCTGGCAGTACTCCTCGCATTACGGCAGGAGTCTTCTTAGAAACAACCCCGAAATCAACCACCTCTCAGTCTGACTCTGATACCTTACGGTCGAAAATAACCGTAGTGGCGCTTAAAGGCACATTCCGCTATAAAATAAGGCTATGACCTCTCAAATGTGTCGGACGATCCGGAAGG